ATATATATATCTATATATATATATATAATTCTTTACGTTAATCGTTGGTAGTTCGAGCCTTTTTCATTGAATAGCTGGACTATTTCTCAGTTGCACTTGTTTAAAGAGTTTATTCGGCGAACGACGTCTCGTGTTATAGGGGTAGTCGTTTGCAGGAGGATCAAAGGCCGCGTTTCTTAGCGCATCATTATCGATGTGATTTACGATTTGCTCGTCCCACGGGAAAACTCTTTTCTAGCCGGAATAAAGAGAAAAAGAATCAGATTCGTCGCGGAGAGCTTCCTTACGCCGATAACAATTTTATCAATAGCGTCGGCGCAAAGGGAGAGAACAGAGAAGAGAAAGAGAGACAGAGGAAAAGCGGATTGCTATGGAATTATCGCAATATTATGCATATTATATATTAAATATGAATGTGATGATGTATACGTTGTATAAGTAAATATGTGCGCTGTAGGCTGTAGGGCGTGACGATGGCGCCGATAATCGAGGAGCGTTAACATAATTTAGCGTTAACTATATCGATGTTTAATTTATCGATCGTTAAGCCACAAACACACGGACACGGACGCATTTCGGTTTTTTAGATCGCGATCGCGCAATTATCGTCGCGCCGCGCGCCGCGACAGCGCATCCCTCCTCACCGGAGGGGTCGGGCGGGACAGTTCAGAGCCTTGTTTCGCGTAATGCGATTATCGATTATTCGGTTGCTCCCGCATACGAATGAATAATTTCGCGCCTCTCCACCGCGGTGCACGGTCAACCGAGAGCTGTGTTCGTTCCCGAAGAAGGTAATAGCGGAAGGTAATAAGTACATTACACGATAACTCATTGTCCATTAGTCGATGTTATATCGTCGAGGAAGAGAGGACGCTTCTAGACTATCGTCGGATCAAATTGTATCGATTCTAGCATAGTTATCCAGGAGAGGAAGGAGATGGGAAGAAGGAGAGCTCGAGGAGGTTCTCGTTTATTGTCAATGTAATGCGAGCGAAGTATATTGTACACTTGTGTATCGCTACGGGAGTGTCATGCATTTTTGCGCTGAATGTTAGTCCATAAGCAGCACGAATCAAATATACGCATACAAGCATACCCGAACATCGTGACATGATGATTTATCCCGGTGCAGACTGTCAACCAAGAGACAAGGAAACATCAACTTCTCCTCGAGATCCTTGAGACGAATCCAAACATCCATTCGTTTTCTCTCGCTTAATCATCGCCATGTTGCGACGAGTGTCAGCTCAGCAGCTGGTATGACCGGCAGTCGTCGGATTCTGAAATATTTCTTGTTTTATTTTTGGAGGGAGAGATGGAAAGTGGCACGGTGTCAGAGAGAGACGGACGAGATATGCTTTAACAGAAATTTATTGTTCCGATACATCACGAATGTAACCTGTGGAAAGAGGGCAGCCTCCCAGGCAAATGTCTCTGGCAAATCGAGAAGAAGCAAGTATTACGTACACGAGGATACAGCTTATTTATTTCATTCTCGTGTTACTTTTAAATAGTGTGTTTTGTCTCTTCTTCTTCCTAGTAGATCTGTGTATGTAAGCGTCGAGGGCGACACACGTGCTCTTCTCTTTCTCTTGACAGACTTTTATGCGTAAGATGAAGATGGTAAGAATCGGTGAGACTTTGGGGAAAAAAGAGTCGTCCCTCTTGAGAAATATTAATCGAACCGTTGGATGAGAATGATCAGTTTCGATAAAATATTCCGTCGTGAGATGTGAGAATATTCGAACGTATCTCGAAACTATTCTTCGTGTTCTGAAAATATCCCGACACACAGCTATAGTAACGTCAGCAAATATTCCGATCGAGTCGAAATGCAAGGTATCTCCGTGATATTTTGAGAATCTCGATTTCCAAAAAGATCCAAAAATTTCGACAACTCGTTTACGAGAATTGTGTCGGCGTATCTTCTCTGCATTTCATGTGTGTGCAGACCTGAACAAATCCGGCTTACTTCTCGCGAATTACAATTTTACAGAGCTAGAGAGAGTTACTCTTATAAAATTCATAATCGTGTATGTACGCTCGTGTAATATTTCCGCCGCGGAATATTCCCAGAACATCTCCTCATCTCGTGTTTTATCGGGTTGTTGGCGATGCGGAAATCCTCGTGTCCGCTTTTCAAAATTCTCTGACGCTTCTAGTTAGCAACGGTATCGCGTAAATATTTATATATATATATATGTGTGTGTATGTATGTATGTATATATAGTATATGTGTATGTATAATATATTACACACCATATTATATCGCTCGTGCGCCTCTCGACATCTCTGTTGCGCTTTCCTCTCGTCATATAAATACTTAGCGATTACCTTACGCGATATTTAACGCTTAATCACTATCTCGTCTTTGCTGATGATTGGTGTTTAACAGTGGCACGCGTGCCGCACGAGAACGCTACTCTCCGCGATATATCCGCTAATCAACGAGCGCGAAGGAAGAAAACAGACGGATGGAAAAAAAAAAGAAAAACAAAAAGAACGAAGAGGACGCCTCGATTAATGAATGTAACTCTGGCAACGCGGTGACCGTAAAAACTCGATCGTAAAACTACACACAATTCCCCGAGAAAAAATCTCTCCCTCACGGACAGATGAACCTCGTAAGTCCACGTCTGTGTGCGGGGTAACGGCGATACGTATAAAAGTCTCGTCGCACACGTCGACGGGAGCTCGAGGTCGTGACCGGAGTTAAGAGCGACACGCGAATTGGAGAATAACAGCTGCTCCACCCTCGCGCGAGGCTCTCGTGCGGCAATTGAGCGCAGCAAATTCATTTGGTGTACGCGAATACAGGATGTTACGCGTAAAACGCACGGATTTGCGTATTTTCGAACACGGGGGAGAAACTAAATACGCGCTCTCGCTCGCTTATTCTCTCTCTCGCCCCTCCTTCGAGATTTTCCATCGTGTTCGACTATACAATATTCCGCACAAGAAGATGCTCGGTTGTTATATTACATGCCAAGACTGCCACGGTACGTTGCTTTACGCAACGCACGTTGCACGCAACGTGCTCCGGAAACGGACTGCAAGCCGAGAGAGATTCGTAGTGACAACGACCGCCGTGCACGAAAGCGCATTATCTCCGACTCGACTGTGTGAATCATACTCTGAGGATTTTTATGTGCCCGATGATCCAAGAATCAATTAATAAATCAATAAATCAATTAATAAATTAATAACTCGCACACTGTCTTTACGCCAGATTGTGGTCTCGCGGTATACGCATGTAATTAACAAAGTGTAACATAAAACAGACAACTGCGAGCAGCCGCCGAATCAATCACCCGATTTCAGTTGTTCATTGATCCTGAATCGAGCGATACACAAATACGCGATAAGTGAATCATAAGTCGCTTTAATCCGGAACTTTCCATTCATCAGGCTGAGAGTATCGTGTCTAAGAAGTGGCCGTCTCGACTGCCACGACCGCCGTCTCGAATAAGGTGATTAATTCGGTGACGTCCTGCTTAAGCAGGACAAAGAAAGGGGATTTTCTTCATCTGGACGCGCGATGTCGAGCGGTCTTAACGCGGCGACTGGATCCGGATATTTTCCAATTGTCTGAGCAGTTTAAGGAAAATCCGTCTCCGTTATTTAACGTCTCCGCTAAAATTGTCGATTATGACCTGCGCCGCTTTCGCGGAGCACGCTAGAGACAATTCCTCTCTCTCGCTTATCCTACAAATTACCTTGGCTATTTCCGGTTATTCGATAACGGTAGTAATATGGTACAACGTTTTCTTAAGCTCTATACTGAAATATTATCCGCACGATACGTTCGCACACCGCCTGTCTGCCACTCTCCGTTCACCGTATTAAATTAAACGTAGCGAAACGCGTAACAATGAAAGAAAAGAAAGAAAAACAAAACAAAAATAATTGTCAGCATATATATACTCTCAAGAAATTCTTTAACGAGCCTACACACCGGTTTACTAGTTCTGCAACAAATTCGTCCTGAGTTATCCTCCCCAGACTTCCTCGCGATTTATGCGACCGCAGTCAGATCGGCCAGCTTTTTTGCCAGACTTTTGTTCGAAGAGTGTGCGCGTTTACGCTTCCCGGCGTAATTTCTCGCGTGTTTGCCGAAAAGATTACATTGGATTTAATTGCGAGTAAACAGCGTCCACCTGAGAGAAGGAAACTGCCTCAGGTCTAGGGAGAACAAACAGAATCACGCGAGAATAACAATGGAACGTACTAACCGATTACCTCCGGATCAGATAACGACGTCGGAATGTTTAATCACAGGAACGGTGATAAAAAGAACGCGCCAAAACACATCCCGCCTAGTACACCATTCTCTCTCTCTCTCTCTTTCTCTCCTGCGTATCCTGCACCTTCGAACTTCCCCGCTCAAGTTTTTTCACGCACGTGCCATCCGCATGCAACGCGAACATCAGCCGAGTCCTACTTCCGTCGCAAATGACCTCGAACGAAGCTTATCACTTAGCGCTCACGATACTCTCCCTCGCGTACGAAAAGCGGGTTCGAGTCGATATCTCGCTAGAAACAGGAAGAGATATAGGCTGCGTTCAGAAAACGCAACGGTTTAGTGAACGCTCACTCTCTCTGTCGTTAGAATATTCTAGATATATCTTATATCTAAGAGAATATTTTAACCAAAGATGGCAATCCCTCAACAGTTACATAACCTTTGTGTTCTGAACGCACCCATACATATACATCGATGGACGTGTCGCGCGATTCGCATCGGTCGCAAGAAGAAAAAGAAGAAGAAAGGAAGGTGACAGTCTCGAGGAAATTAAATCCTCAAGGCTCTCTTGAGGAACTGAAATTCGTTGTCGCGAGAGAAAAATCGACGTGGCGTTCCGACGGAAAAATCTCCGGGCTTTGTCGAAGATGACGCAAATTACGACGCGATAAGCCCTAAAAGTTTTGAATAACCGCCGCTGCGTCGCCGCTGCCGTTGCCGGGCGGGTCCAAGAAGCAGTCCCGGAATGGCGGGGGTGAGTATCGATCGGCTGTGCTCGTCGCGCGCGATGCGAGAGAGGAACAGGACGCTGATGCTGTGTTCATGTCATACCGTTCGTCATCACAAACTCAACAGTCTCCTCTCGTCTTCTCCCCGATCCTCTTCCGCCGCGAAAAAGGATGCGTTATTCACAGCCGTGATCTCGGCGTCTGTAACGCTTAAGTATGCTCGCCCACAACAACGCGGTAACGTCGCGCGGCCTCGCACTACGCCCTACTGACAAGACAAGTGATATGTTAATGCGTTCTAAGTCTTGACCGCGCCTCGCTGCTGTTGTCCAGCAGCTTACAAACCTCATCGCTCGCGCGTATCTGGCTGCTTTTTCGGCAGCGCCTTCGTCGATCTCGTATATCATTTTCGGTGTCCTCGCACCTTGATGTTATTATCAAAGAAAACCGCGAATTTGGCAAATGAATATGAACAAGTACAAATTTTACTGATTTCAAGATGCAAATAAAAATGGCAAGTAAGAGTTATCTCGCCGTGGTAATCAGTATACAATAATCATATGTCGTAATCAACTCAATAAACAATAAACAATTGACACGTCGACTGCCACGGATCCCAAAGTTCAGTTGAAATTAGAATCAACGAAGTTACGAAGTGAATAGACACACTTAATGATGCGTATATTCGTTAACTAAGTTTTTTTTAGCTTTCCATCGATTACGTTATTTAATTCGTTACTTGTGATTAGTCGAGCTTTACGCGCGAATCAATGAAATATAGCGAAACTATAGCACCGGTTGTCGGTAACCTCCGTGAAAATCTCAACGCGTAGCTCAACAGACATCGATATTTTAGTCAACAAAAGGGAAAATCCTCTTTGGCAATAATTGTACAAATGTCAACGGTTAATCAAAAGCAGTATCAATGCTTTCTTACTATATCACTTTGGTCGTTGACGCCTATTCTTTGCTATTCCTTTTCACGTCGGAGTCGTTCTCCGAAGAAGCTGTACTTAACAGTTCACAATTTTTTCAATTGATACACTGAATGCGGGATCTCGTGTTCGATCGTGTATACCGAGATACGCGCGAGCAAGTACGCGCAGCTCGTAACATACGCCCGTGTGCGTGTACGTTCGGTCAAGCGTGATTAAGTACCATTATTATTATCATTATCAACATCATCCTTGCGTTTCACGGCTGCGATCGCGCGCTAATGCCGGTCCAGAAATAACAATTCATCGCAACGAAGCCCATGGCCGCGCGCGCTCATCAATCGATCATTCACACACTCCCGGATACAAAAAATAAGCTCCGACCGGTCGCCTCGGGAGCTCGCTCGAGTCACACGAAGTACGAATGTGTATGATACGCGGCCCTGAAGAGATATTCGGAGCCCCAAAAGCGTTATCTCGCACGATTAGCCTACGGGGGAGATTTCACCGCTGCGTCCGTCCGCAGACATCTCATCTTCCTCTTCTTCCGTTCCTCTCCGCTGTCACGCACTTCCGAATTCAGCCCTCAAACGTCACTGGGAACGAGCCACCGTCTGTCTTCAGGAACGCGCAATAAATTTTCGGCAAATCCTGGAAGAGGCCGGAAATCGCAAGATTGGCTCTGATCCACTGATCTCGGATGAGCGAGTTACGCCACTAACTACCTCGGCATAATATCTCTTCCTGGGTTTCTGTATGTTTCATTGTATGAATGGAAATAAACCACGGCTGTAATCGCGCTGGAATTCAAGATGGCGATGGATTATCTCAGCTGACTCATCGTTATTAGCCGGTTACCGTTATATGATCTCTTGATTCTTTATAGTGCTCTTCCTTTCTTTCTTTCTTTTTATTCAGCCCCGGCATTCGCTAACAAGGTTTTGCTGTTCACAGTGGTCGCTTATTGGCGAACAGGACACGTAAAGCCACGAAAGCGGAAGCTGCCCGAAGTCTCCCTTCTGTCACAGCCGATCGAGCGGCGACAGGTTGCGAATGTGATATCGTGGCTCGGCTCTGAGGAAGAACGTTGGAAGCTTGTTCGTCTTCTCGGCTTCCTTCCGCTCTTTTTCTTATCGCATCTTCTCGGTCTCTCTTTCTCTCTCTCTCGCATTCTTTTTCGCATAGCACGCACATACACATACACACGCACGCATGCACGCACACTCTGTCCCTCCCCCTTTTCTCCTTTGGCACGTCAGCTCGTATGCTACTCTCTACTCGCTCTCTACCCTATCGTTACGATAAAAAAATATGAGGAATAAAAATATATCACGTAACAACGTCCCTTAACCATCGTTTCTCCGCGGTAAGGGACAACGCGCGCGAGACCCTCACGCAGCGGCGAGATATCGAGAAAGAGAGAGAGAGAAAGAGAGAGAGACTCCTCTCTCTCCGCGGTATCGTCTCTCCTCTCCCTAAAACCCCACACTGACGCGCATCGACTTTGCGTAGACGCTGCTCTCTATACACTGCTTTCAACCCCCGGGAATCGTTTATTTTCGTATTATTAAGTATATCAAACGATATACTTAAGCTAAGCTTCTAATCTATCGGCTTTATTGACTTTTTGTCCGTTGTCGAGCGGAAGAAAGGAATATTGAGAAAGCAATCGGCTTTCGACGACACGTTTGCGGAGCGACTGGCGTGAATTCGGTGGTTTTTCGTATCTCGGTTGCGAAGAATAGTCGCACACATATCGGTATGTGCTCGATGATTCTTAATTGCCGATCGCGACCGCTCGAAATTTCACCGTTCACGAGAAGCTTGTCTCTCTCTCTGTGTCTTCGGACCTTACTGTTCGAGTCTACTGTCCGCGGCAGGTCATTGCATTTTACGTCGTAGAATTGTCCATCAGGTAACCATAGTGCCTTCGTGGCGTCAGTTGGGGATCGAAATATTAGGGAATCGCCGTCGCGCTGCCACGTTCGGAAGCTCGTCGCGTCTTCGACGTCATTGAATCAGCTGCAAGAGATCCCACGGTCCTTGAAACATTCCCGTAGGACATAGAGCTCGCCTTTCCCCCGCGAACAGTTTTGCGCGATTTTCGATGTTTGATTGACCGTAGGTCTCGTTCTAACTCCGACGAGTGGCAAGCCCCAGGGAGTGCTCTTTGACGAGCGCGAACAATCGCGAGCTCCTTTGCCGGATGTGAATTTGGCGCAGGAGCCTTTAGCCGAGCCAAGGTAGCCATCAGCTGGGCTGTGGTGGTGTCAGTCTCACCAGCAGCCACGTGTACAGCTTTGGCTTCCGCTTGTCGATCAGCTCGTACTGTAAGTTGGCTAGTCCGTCGGTAGAAAACCTCTTCTTGCCTGTCTTCAGGAACTCGTACCTGTCATTGAAGATCGGATATTTATTATTATGGTTTTTATTATCTAATTTAAGCTATTTTAACAAGACAATATAACAGGCAAGACTAAGAATTATTAAAGAAAGAAAAAAACGAGATAAAGTAACAGGCAGGATCAAGAATTATTGAAAACAGAAAAATGAAACAAAATAACAGGACCAGGAATTATTAAAACAGAAAAAAATGAAATGAAGTAAGACACAGGCGGTATTAGGAATAATAAAGAAAATAAAACACGAGGCGAAATAACAGATTAGGAGTTATTGAAAAAAGTAAAGCGAGACGAAGTAACAGACAGGATTAGGTATTATTAAAATAGAAAAAAATAGGAAGTAACACAGATTATATAGGAATTACTGAAAGAAGAGAGAAAGATAATCTCGAGATTGATATCCCGAAAAGTGTTCACGGTAGCTTTTTCGACTTACCTTTTCGGATTCGCTTTCTCTTTCTTATGTAAGAGCATCTTGTAGCGCGCGACGTTCGCCGGATAACGCGAAATGTGCAGGCCGTGGGCTTTGATGCGATTCGCCATGTCGTCGTCTTCGCCACCCCAGCCCCAGAAAACGTTGCTGAAGCCATTCACCAGCTGGAAGTGTTCGCGCGACATCGCTGACACGCCGCCGAAGAGATCGGCGTATGGTAACCTGAAGATAATTTGACAACTTGATATTCGCATCGAAGAAAGACGTCCCCGTTCCCAACATCGACTCTGCGAAGAATACAGTGGCGGGTCGTTTTTACCTGTACTTGAATTTGTCCACCGCGACCGACATGTGCCTGGGCTGCTCAGGACAAGTGTACAAATTCCTATCGTCTTCCGGAAGTAGGTCAACATCGTGGAAGATGAAACAGTCGAAGGTTTTCTCCTTCAGTGCCTCCACGTAACCGACGTTCATGAGCATCGCCCGATTGAAGGGTCCGGAGCCTGGGAATCAAACGGTACACGTCAAGCTTTTCCGACACATGCCGATAATTCGAGCGCGAAAATGGCGACGTTGAGAATTCCCCCTTCATGGAGAACATTTAATTTTTAATCGCTTGGGAAGTTTCCGCGATAAATATATTTCACTCGCGAGAATATAACGGGACACACACATCGATATTCTCTCCAATGTTCAGCGATCAAAAATAGGGAAGACGAGTAGCGGGCACCGACGTAAATCTCAATGGTAATACGAAGCGCGGAGTTTAATAAACGGCGTCAAGCAGCCCCCGGAGCGCGCGTTCGCGAATTATAGTCTCGTAAATTTTTCAAATGCTTCATCGTTAATCAGGTCTCGCGATATATTTAGCGTGCAGCTCGGCGTGCAGCTCTCGCATGCTTTTTTAATTTATGAGCGGGCTGATTAGCGTCGCGGCCCGCTGCGAGCCGTTGAACTTGCTACTTCGGGGCAACTCTCGACCGCAACAACGCTCTTTCGCAGAGAAAATAATCCGACGTGTCTCCCTCCCTCCTTTCTCCTCTCTGCCCCTCTTTCGGTAGTCTTCTCTCGTTCCGGGCGAATTTGCTATAACTGACTTGTTGAGAATTACGATTTCTCAAACCAACGGTGAGTCTCGGCGACTTCCGGCGAGCACGGGGAAGGGCGCGATGTAAAGCGCAAGCTCTACAAATTGCTCAGGTTTGACAAGGAGCCGGCGCTGTATGCCCCGGGGGTTAATGAAAAAGGGGTTACGCCGAGACTGATCCCGCGGATGTTTGCCAAGTCGCCCGGTGCAATTAAAAGTTTCGCATCTTATCCTGTCGAGATGAGCCTTCGCGGTTGTTAGCAAGCGACAAAAGTGGGTCATACGTAGGGAACTTTGGGCGGATTTCCCTTCGCGTTTCCCTCCGGCCCTTTATTATTATCCTCTTCTTATGCTGTCCCTCACAATCAATTATTAAAACAGAGAAGACTGAGACGTATCCTCCATACTGATTTTCCGAAACAATCAATTATTTTAATAACATGGAAGCGTCGACATAAAAATGTCCAATACCCACTCGTTGCGGCGCTGGTCAATTTTCGATGCCTTTGCTTGAATTTTATCAAATATTAAGACGTATATAAGAATTCACTAATTATTTATTAATTATTATTTATTTTGTTTTAAATCAGCATGCACCTTAAATATTTGATAAAATTCATGTAAAGGTGCTTAAAACAGGCAGAGTGCCAGCTAGACATTTTTCCCATGTTTTTATAGAGATTTGTACATAGGAAGAAAAATTATTCAAGAAATAAAAGATATTTCTTCGGTGGATATTATAATACATATAATATATTTTTACTTACACTGATATATAAAATATTTTTTAAATAAAAAATACATATTTTCTTAAAACTTTAGCTTTTCACGAAAACAATTGTTTGTTTCATTTAAAGAAACGAATTTAGGAATTTAGTAAGTAAATATATATATATATATATATATATATATATATATATATATATA